CCCTGGATCAACTGGTAGCTGATAGATATAAACCACTGACCTTTCAGTGAACAGCCTGACATGTCACACACTAGCCTACCTGGGCTCCTTGTCAAACTGTTGTTGTTGTTAGATGCCATCTAATCGCCTGTGCATGAGCCAGCCTCCAAATCCACTGGAGCTAAAACCGATTTCCCACACATTTTCCTTTTGGTAAAAGGTAAGCAGTGAAACATTTCCAGAGAGGAGGCAGGCAATCCCAGTCAAGTCAGTCAGTTATTCAACAGCAGGAAAATCTGGGCAACCAAACCCTCCCCACAGATCCTGCACAGGGGAGAGGTCCTGGGTCCACCCACTCTGGGCATCTTGGTATCTGGCACATGGAAGCGTCAGGGACGTCTCTCATTAGGATGTCCCCTAACACTCCCAGGAACGAGGACGTTCTGTCAGGTGAAAATCACAGAAGTGAGGAAGTCATCAACGGGCTCCTCCTGGTGGCAGCTGCAAAGCCCAGAACATGAAGTCTCACCAACCTTCCTGCTGGTGGCAGCTGCAAAGCCCGGGACATGAAGTCTCACCAAGAGCCTCCCTTGGAAGGAACCTTCTGCCAGTACTTCTTCCAAGGCAGTTCATTGTTCTAGACGTCACATGTTGCTAACTGGCATGGTTACGAAGACTCTTTTGTTTTCTTTATGCTTTGATTTAACCTATACTGCAGGTTGTAGCGCGAACTGGGCAAGAAGAGAGGAAGGGTTCCATGTTTATTTGATGTACCCATATAACAAAGCAGCAGCCATGAAAACAGGGCTCATTACTGACACAGACTGGGACCTGAAGCCTTCAGTTAACTGGGGAAGCAGATAACTGGCACCCTGCAGAGTTCACACACACAGGCCCAAGAGTGGATGTCCATGGTGCTGTGGGCAGAAACTTCCACCTGTCCTCCTGGGTGGCCACAGGACTCACCGCTGGGTGCTACTATTCTGGATGGTTTTTATCTGTGACTCTGTACTTTTCTGCACTCTGAGTCTTTACATTAATCATGTATTATTTTCCCTAAAACAGTAAGCTTATTTTCATTTCAAATGACTATCTCTCAATGTTCTATTATTAGTAACCCTGCTGATAACATAATCATACACGGAAAGGTTCATTTTATGAATAAAAGCTCAAAAACGATATAGCTCAGGCTTAACAAAGAAATCTAGTTCAAAACGGGTAGGCATTAAAGCTCTGGGTTAAGTGTCAGACAGTACATGAACACCTGCTGCTATTGAAACGGCCACGGACCAGGCTCTCTCAGGTCTCCACCCTCCTGAACAACACAACAGCTTTACATGGCTGTTACCTCAGGAAAAGAAAGCTCCCATTGCACAACTCTGAAATGTAAACCTGTGTTCTGGACTGGGAGGGTAGAATTTGTTTAATACTCTCCTGTTTCAACGCCGCCTGCCAGATTTACACTTTCACCTGAAAACTCACAGCAGGCATACAACTTCCTGTGATGCTAGAGGAAAAATACCTCCCTCACCTTGACCCCATTGCCAGTGGGCCAGTGCAACATGGCTAGTGCCACCGTGCACATGCCACGTGCCTGACGTCCCATGCCTGACGTCCAGTGAAGCAGGCTAGTCACCATCTCATTTCACCAAAAGAGAATCTGAACAGGACTCCTCCCAACCCCCCCCCCACACACACACACACATTTTCTGAGCATGAACGCTGACACACAAAGCCATGCAAGACATCCAGGAAGATGAAAAATCAAGCAGCCGTGAAAAACCATACTGATTTGCCCTTGGAGGGATGAATTTCCGCCGTAAGGAGATCTATCCCAGAATGACAGACACTGAGCTCATCAGAGGCTGTTGCTGTGTGCAGCTGACTAACTCACAGTGACTCTTTAGGACAGAAAATTCTCTTAAATGGTTTCCCAAGGAGCTCTGTGTGGCACCATGAGTAAGGCACTCAGCTGCTAACTAAAAGGCTGGTGGTTCACTCTGCTTCCAGAAAGATCACAGCTTTGAACACCTCACAGGCAAGTCTAGTCGTCCTACAGGGACACACTGAGTTGGTATCAACTCGATAGCAGTGGATGATCTTTAGGGAACAGACGGTCAGCTTTTTTCTCCCACAGTACAGGTGGTGGGTAGAGCGTCACCCGTCCTACCCATGTGCGGTAACAGGAGTTACCTTTAGTTTTAGCAGGAAGACATAAAAACCCCCATGAACCAATTACCCAAAACCAGCCTTTCCTACTCCAGTAAATTAGGAAAAGTAGAGCACTCTTTAGGGGGCACGCCAGGGGTCCACTTCCCTGATGCAAGCAGGTGGGCTCATTCACCTGTTGTAAAAGTAGCCATGAGCTAGACAAGGCTGGTTTAATGCAAAGATGAAATAATATGATAATTTTTTTTAAAGCCCAACATGGTGGACCTCAGATGTCCAACAACTACCTGACAGAGCACCTTGCTGAAGACCCCTGAATAAGACGTGCACTTATTTCAGACAGAACACAGATGGAACAGGACGCCACCCTAGGATCTGAGACCAGTCATATAAACCACAGAGCTCAGGAAGCAGCGCTGAGGTGGGAATCTGAGGAGCAGGGCACTAGAGTAAGGAAAAGTAGGGAACAGCTAGTAAACATAAACATCAACAACAGCAAACGGGGAAAATGTTCCAAAGAACAAACAGGAGCAGAGTCTGTGACATCTGGAGGTGGCTGCATGTCTTCAAAGCGTTTACTCAGGGCACAAGGCAACCAGTGACAGCGTGGAGCCCTCCAAACACCCAGACAAAAGCCCTCCCACCCTTATGTCAACATGGAAGCGGCTACCATTGCTACCTCCTGTGGAGACGCTGGCGGGTTCCAGACATTGACCCCTTGGCTAGCAGCCCATTGCTTCCACCACTACCCCACCAAAACCCCAGGACAGCCAATACCACTGAAGCCAAGCTCCTGTGTTCAAACTCAAGTCTCTTCCTTTAGGACCTCCTTCCAAATATTCTAATGTCTACATGTAGCTAACTCCCCTCCCTGACCCACACCTAATCTCCACCACTCCATGGTCCTTGGAGACACCTGTGAGTCAGCCTCTCACTCCCTCCTCTCTTGAGCCCACCTGAACCTCAGAACTCCACTGACCCTCAGCTACAGCTCAGGGCCCATCTTGCTCCGGTTTCTTCTGATGTAAAAGTTTCTGAGAACAGAACCTCTCTCTGGTTCCACAGCTGTCTGCATGAGACAGGTACTTTGAGAGTTGACGGGCATGGATCCAAAAGAGGTGCCCCCAAACCCCAACTATAGGCATACAGAGAGTGAGCATTTCATCAAGTGCCAAGAAGTTGAGTGCAAGAGGAATGATGTATTCCAGATGCATTCCTGCTTATCTCACTGTAACAAAGTAAGGTATGATAACATCAGTTACCACTCTCTAAGTAATTCGGTTTTAGACCAGCATTTATAATCAGGAAATAAACCCATTCCTTTCCATTTACTTAAGAGGCCTTCTCAACAAGTTCCTTCCAATGAAAGGGTAAGGAACACTGAGAATGAGAATAAAGGGATGTGCTTCTGGTTTACTGACCCTCCAGGTATCTCTACCCATTCCAGTTCTACTCAGAGAACTCTACACAAAAGGGCCAAAATAATCAGTTTCCAATAAATTTTAACAATAATCACTTCTCTCCCACTGGACACTGACTCTCCAAGGTCATGAGCAGCACCGTTTAGGTCAGTGATTTTTTAGCTGGGAAGGGTGGACTCTGATGTCTGGAGAGGGTCTGGCTGGACAACACAAGGTGGATGGTGTTCTGCCATCTAGTGGGCAGAGGCCAGGGATGCTCCTAGACTTGGTACCTCCGAAAGGACAGACAGCTTAAACCCAGCAGGGCCAACGTTGAGAAGAAACTCTAGAAGTGTAAGTAGAGCTGGGATAGTTTTAATGAAAAAAAAAATAAAAAAGACAAAGACTCCAGAGTATAGCATCACATCATTCCTGCATGAAAGTTTTTGTTGTTTTTTTTTTCTTTTTAATAGAGTGCATGTTGGTACAGCTTCAAATCTGATCATTATCTATTTCATGGGGGGAAGGGGAGTGTGGTGTAAACAGCCACATCAAAAAAGTCTGATTTTATTTGCACGGTTGTTATTTACAGTAACTAAAGAGCAACTGGATCCTGTGAGAGTCTGAGGGCCATACACCAAGAACCAGTCAGCATAGCCCATGGGGCCAGACCACATCCGATCACTCTAACCACTGTCTCCAAGGGGAACAGACCCACCACCCTCAAGTAGCAGGAGTAAACCGTCCTACCAATAAACCAATTTTTAAAAACGATCTCCGCTAATTTTAAGAGCCTCAGAGCAAGTTCCTGATGTAAACTGAGCCCTGTGGAGCCACGCCTCTATTCTGTTCCTCCCGCACTTCTCGCTAACTGTGCGTGCACTGTGTCTAGGATTCAAGACTTCTTTGTACATATTGCAAAGCGATAAAGCACACCGAGCAGCACTAGTTCTTGGGGAAATGCCCTCAAGTTCATGGCAAAAACCGTACTGGAGGGCAAAGGATCGCATTTAGGAAAGTTTTGTTCTTTAAAGGGAAGTTACGTGATAATCTCTAAAGCAGCTTAAAGATCAGGTTCTGCCTCCTCTCCTCTGACTTCCGCAAAGCCAATCCCAGAGGACAGATTCCAGTGCGGAGGAGGCATGAACTTCACCTCCAGGTGGACGGGGTTCAGGGACACTGGCCGTGCTCCTTTCAGGCGCCCAGGGTGGGCTTTCTATCCACCCGCTGGCTTAAGGACCCTGCTTCTCCACGTGGAGAACGATGACCGGGTCCAGATTCGGGGGAGGAGTGAGGGGGCGAGAGTCTGTCCACTGCTGCACAGCGCGATCCCCACCATCCCTGACAATGCACCCCCTCCCCCGGCCCTCTCCCGTCTCTGTGCCCCTTCCCTCCCGCCACCTGCTCCCTGAGCTCTGCATCCCTGGCCATCCCCGCGGCGCGCCGGCGCACCTCCTCCAGGAACTTGGTCAGGTCATACACTTTGTGATGCAGGATGAGCCAGGTGCTCTTGCTGTGGTTGTGCTTCTGGATCTCCTCTAGGGTGTAGTACTTCACGGTCTTATCCGAAGATTCGGCCATCTCGGAATCGTCAGCCCACGAACTCGCGCACGAACTCCAGCCAGCTGCAACAGAGCAACCCGGGGACTTGGGCTTGACACGCCACACCCAGCTTGGGCGGAGGCTCCTGGGGGCGGGGCAACTGGGGCAGGGCCAGCACTGATTGGCTAAGACCCTTGCCATTCGAGGATTCCCCGCCCACCCAGCACGGCCGGTTCCACCCCATTGCGTCTCCGCCCCCACGCGGCCTGCTGATTGGCTGTGTGCGGGGGCAGGTCCTGCTAGAGGCTGCGCAGGCGCTGGGTGAAAGGGCGCGGGCGCGGCCGCGGGCTAGGGGCCAAGGTACTGAGGCTGCGCGTGCGCAAGAGAGAGGGCAAGTTCAAAGTGCCGAAGTCCAAGGAATCGCAGTGGGACCCCACCACCGCCAGCCAGTAGCACCTGGAGCCCGCATGCAGCAAGGAGTTAGGCTCCAAGTGCGAAACCCGTGCACCGCCGGCGCCCAAACCGGAACCCGCTGCAACTCTGTCCAACAGACGTGCTGCCCCAAACACACTTTCACTAAGTAAACTTCTGCTGGCTGTCATTTTGCGTACCCACCTCTAACTCGAGATCTGAAGTGCCTATTTTTTGCAGAGGGAACTCTGGTGGCAGACTCGGCAGGCCTGGACTGCTAACCCAGTGGCAACACCCCTCTGGAGGTTCGAATCTACCTGTGGCTCCACGAAGGAAAGATGGGCAGCCTTCCCCTGTGCAATTCAAAACCCGCTGTAGGGGCACAGCTGTAGGCGCTTCTGAGGGGCACAATCAGGAGTTTTCACAGGAACAGAGGGAGGACGTGAATGTTTTAAAAATGTGTAAATTAAAATTATTCCTGTGACCCAAAAGTTGTTCTCAGTTGTTGACTTATTACCAGACAAGCACCTGAATTCATGTTGTGTCAAGAGTAAATTATTTGGGGTAAATCACAAATTCTCATCATTTGGCTTATCAACAACACCCTTCTTGCAGGGGGAGGAAGACTCAGCAGATGACATGATCTTGTGGTGGGAAACAGTGCCTACAGGGGAAGGTCCAACACTACAGCCTTCAGTGTGGTTTACACCTCAAGACAAAACAGAAATCCTCCTGAGTAAAAACACGGTAAATGGTGAAAATGTGAACGTTGCCAGGGATTTCATTTTAAGTGGATCCACAATTAACATCCATAGAACAGCAGTCAAAAAAATCAAATGATATCTTGTAATGGGTAAATGTAGCACAAAGACCTCTTCAAAGTGCTAAAGAGTAAGGATATTACTTTGAGACATAAGATGCAACTGTCTGATGATATATGAAAGTTGGACAATGTTACAAAAAAACAGTAAGTTTGGTAAATTTTCACTAGAATCACAACTGAAAATAGGTTCATGGGCGGATGCAGCGGGGGTGGGGGAATAATAAAAAATAACAGGGGGGTCAGTGAAAAAGGAAGACATAATAAACATTAAAAAGTAATTTTTTTAAAAGGGGGGGAAAGTTATTTGAGAGGTACAAGCAGATACCTCATGAGATTTCATTCTCTGCTCTGAAGGCTGGGGTCGTAGTTTCATGGGACAGATCAGTGAACATCTCTAATTCCATGTGTAATCCTTCTGTTTTATCCTTTGTTGTTATGTAATCACCTGCGACTCATAGTTGACCCTATGTAAAATAGCCCTGAGCCAATCTCTGTCTCCTACTAGCCCAGTCACTGTGTTAACCATCTCATCCTGGGCCTGCCTATCCTGCGTTGTCCTTCCACCCTTCCAAGCATGATATCCTTCTCCAAGGACTGTGCCCTTCTGGTAACAATCTCAAAATATGTGAGAAAAGAGCTTCAAAATCCTGCCTGGGGTCTTCAAAACCTGTAATTAGCATAACAATTGGTTTCTAATTGCAGCAAAAGAGGAAGAGGGACAATCAAGAATAGAAGTTTATCAGGTGTGTGGTAAGAACAACTGCCTTCTTTGCCTCAAGACCATAAATAGATAAGACTCAACTACTACAACTGACCATTCTGATGACAGATTCCATAGAATAATTCTGATCAAAAAGAAGGAAATGTAGAATAGAACTTCAAATTCTCATGACAACAAACTTTGCGGAACTATGTACAGTAGATAAATCCCTGAAGCTGAAGGACCCCCGGACCGGTGGCCCTACCCTGTCCCGAGCGGACGGCGAAGACCCAAGACTCCAAGACACCGGCTTGATGCAACAGCAAGAG